TGCTTCCATTAGTGTTGATTGTGGATCCAAGCAAAACGACATCTTTGACAATTTCAATCTTTTCTCCATTTATCATGTTGCTTATTGGTCAAGTTGTGTGGATTTTCATTTCATTTACATTGAGATGCAAGCTGTTCTGAAGACTGTAGTCTTTGATCATCATCATTAAATATTTTAAGTCTTCTTTACTTCAAGGTTGTGCCTTCTGCATATTGCAGGTCATTAATGAGACTTCCTTCAGTCCTGATGCCATGTTCTTCTTCATAAAATCCAGCTAAGACTATTTACTCAATGTACAGATTGCATAAGTATGGTGAAAGAATACAAGCCTGACCCACAACTTCCCAGATTTTAAACCATTTAGGATCCCCTTGTTCTGTAAGATTGATTGCGTGTTGGTTAGTGTTCAGGTTTCTCATTAGCAAAATTAAATGTTCTGGAATTAAATACCCTCTCTTCTCAATGTTATCCATAGTCCACACAGTCAAAAGCCTTTTAATAGTCAAGAAAGCCCAGGTGAGCATGTTTCTGGTATTTTCTGCTTTCAACCAAAATCCTCTGCTATCAGCAATGATATCCCTGTTCCACATCCTATCTGAATCAGGCAGTTCCCTGTTGATTTACTGTTGCAGCCATGTTTGAATTATATTTAGCAAAATTTTACTTGTACACAATATTAATGATACTGCCTGATGATTTCTGTATTCCATTGGGTCGCCTCTCTTTTGAATGGGCACGAATAGGATCCCTTCCAATCTCTGCCTATAGAGTCCTTTCATATTTCAAGTTGAGACTTGACTTTCAGCTTGAGAAATCCTGAGCTTGTTCTTCTTCCTTTTTGTTTTTCTAACTCAGGGTCTATCTTTGCACATTTCATTATAATACTTGGCTTTGTCTTCTCAAGCTGTCCTTTGAAACTTTGTTCAGCTCTATTGTCTTCTCTTTCTTCCATTTGCTTTAACATGTTTAAAGTGGAAAGCAAGTTTCAGAGTCTCTTCTGATGTTCATTTTGGTCTTTTCCTTCTTTCTTGTCTTCTCAGTGACTTTTTTGCTTTCTTTCTTGTATGATGGTCTTGACATCATCCTACAACTCTTTTGGTCTTTGGTCATAGTATCTAATGCATCAGATCTGTTCTTGAGATGATCTCTAACTTCAGAAGGGCTATGTTCAACCTCAAATTTTTGTTCTCATGGACTTGTTTTAATTTTCTTCAGCTTCAGCCTGATCTTGCATCTGAACAATTGAATGTCTATTCTACAGTTGGCTGCTAGCATTGATTGGGCTGATGATACAGATATTTTCCACCTTCTCTTTCCACAGAGCTAGTTGTTATGTTTCTTTGTATTCCATCTAGTGATGTCCTTGTGTATGGTCTTGTTTTATTTTGTTTTAAAAAGGTATTTGCAATGAATAAGTCCATTGGTGTTAGAAAATTGTATTATACAGTCTTCAAAATAATTTCTAGAGAGAACAAACAAGATGGTGGATCGGGTGGACATATAGCAGAGAGCTCCGCCAACAACAACACAGAATACCCGACCAAGCAGGCTCAGGGATGGTACCAGAACTCTGAACCACATATAAAGAAATACTTAGCAGGTTGGAAGGCTCACAGCTGGGGGAATTTGTGGCAGAAGCAAGAAATCTATTGCTTTCTAGTCCGGGATGCTCGGCTGCTCTAGGAGCCACCATCTTGGGTGAGACCACGTGGGGGAAAGATCGGAGCGGCCACAGACGCCTGGCAGAACTGCTGAGATAAAGGTGTGGACATTCTTCTCTTTTGGTAGCTGTTAATTGGTCCCTTGCTGTCTGCGCACCTCCATTCTGGTGACTATAC